AGACTAGCAAGCCCAAACTAGATATTCTGAACTCAGAATATCTTTAATAGCACCCAAAAAGGCAGGGCTTTGTATACCCTGAGCAACCCTGATCCAACAACAGCTTCAAGTAGTGGTTCTTCAGCCAGGTCTGTGGGCAGCCCACTGACAAAGGGTTGATCTATAGTTCCAGAGTATGTATGCCAGGGTGGAGCTGGAAGCCACACGGCCAACTCACTTCTTCTCAGCCTAGGAAGGATTGCTGGCAGCACTATCATTGACCACAAAAGGCAGAGATTTAAACAGAGGTCTCCTAAAAGCAGAAAAAAGCTAATGGGTTACTTACTTTTTCTTCCTTCTACAACTATGGCTTTGGGGCATCAAAAGTCAAGTAGGAAAGCAGCATGCCTGGAATCCCAACTACTCAAGGCAGATACAGGAAGATACTACAGAAATATGATTAACTCCCAAGCTAACTAGTTACTGTGACCTCAGACAAGATCTTCTTTTTTTTTTTTTTAGGGGTGGGGGGTTCCGGTCATGGGGCCTGAACTCTGGGCCTGGGCGCTGTCCCTAAGCTCTTCAGCTCAAGACTAGCACTCTACTACTTGAGCCACAGCGCCACTTTCGGCTTTTTTCTTTTTGTTTATGTGGTGCTGAGGAATCGAACCCAGGGCCTCATTCATGCAAGGCAAGCGCTCTACCACTGAGCCACCTTCCCAGCCCTCGGACAAGATGTTTAATGTCTGTAATCCTCAGTTTCTTCCTTGATAATAAATCTACATTTTATATCCTCGTTTTTCATTTAAACATTTCTATGCCTTCAGAAACGACTGAACACACCATCTATGTAAGTTAAGACAAGTCTCTGGTGCTAGAATCACACGTGATTGCCAGCTCCCTTAGGAACACTACAAGGGCAAGGTGGTTTGTATCTGTATCCCTGGACTAGCAGTAGGAGGCTCTCAAAAATTAGTATACTAACTGGATGGTAAATGAGTGAGCCACAGTTTATATTGCGGGAGCAAAAGTTCTGCACTGCTTCTCCTAGCTATGAATTTATGTGCTCTACTCAGCTAAGAGTTACAGCTTTATTTATTTTTCTCAAATATCATTAGCTTCCATAATACAATTCAAATAATAACCCTAATAGCTCAGCTGGGGTTGGCAAAGTGACATATATGTCACAGGTTCTCCTCAAAACTTTGCTGAGTGAATGCTGTCTGTAGATTATACCTACATAAGTTCCCACATTTCAGTCTATAAGACCTATATCCAAAGCTTTGAAAGCACAGGATAAAAATCAGCATACCAAAGCCTAACTATTAAGAACTTCCTAGGTAAGAAAGACCGGTATGGTTTTAGAAGGCTCAGTGAAAGTGAAGGCCCTCTATGTCTCCACAGAGTCACCAAAATAGGTCTTTGCGGACACTCAGGACATCTATTATGCCTTAACTGTTTAAAGGGTTTCCTGACTCCATTTGTTTACTAGCCAATCATTTCACAACTTGGGGCTTCAATTTTCTTCTCTATAAAATGCAGCTAGTAACTGTCCCTGCTTCAGCACTCACATGAAGACTGCACGTGATCATACACCTCATTTGTCTAGACTGGCCTTGTACAGAGCAGCTGTTCAGCAAATAAATGGAACATGCCTCCTCCATCAGCCCCAAACTGAAATGCATCCAACTTAAAGTAACTGAGCTGACCTATGCCGACCGTGCGGGACTCTCCTCCTTTCAAAAGGTACCAAGTATTTGCCACTGGAAACCTGTAAAAGGAAGATCCCTTTCTACTGGCTCCCTCACCGTTGATCCTAAAATGCCGGCCTACTCCTTTCTGCAGAAAACCATCTCCCAGTCACTTACTCATAACTTCCAGTCACAAGTAAAATGGCATTCAGCAGTGTGCTTTAGTTGCAGAATAAGCAAAACACTGGCTTTTTTGCTTGGAAAACACTCACACACCAGGATGAAACCTTGGCAGAGCACCAGTGGATCCATTCCTGCTTCCCCCCAAACAGCCTCCAATCACTGTGTGCCAGCTAAGCCCTGACTCCCACAGCCATATGTGCCCCTTTACCCCCAAAGAAGCCTAGAAGTAAACTCGGCCTCTTCTTACCATAGATTTCTGACTCATTTCCTAGAGAGCTCATCACAGAGACTTTAAATAAAAGCACTAACATCTGCACAGCACAGTATAGTCTTTGCCAAGGAGACAGCAAAAGAAGAGTGTGGGTTAATCTGGAGCCCCAAGCTTGGAGATCTCATAGTGCTTTAGCTGCAGTCTATCTATCTATATATGTCAGTAATCCAAACAACAGCAAAGACCACAAATAAATAGGAAGTACTTAATTACAAGAACTGGGGAAAGGCTTTTTTTTTTAATAAGGAGAAAATTCTAGTCCTATTCCAAAGTTTCCACATCATCAAAAAAAAAAAGTACCCAGAGCTCTATTCCCAAGAATAACCAGAGAACCACCCAGGCCACATCCTTACAGCTTCCAAATATCTCACTTGTGAAGTATATGCCAACAAAAATTTGTGGTATGCCCTCCAATTTTTCCTCTTATTTTAGGTGCAATAACCTTAAGTGTTATATTTTTGAAAAACTGAATTGTGATTCACAAGATATTTATATGTGTATCTTCTTCATATATGTAAGCTTGAAGGAAAAGGAGAAATTCAACTGTGATGGCTGTCCAGTGAGGAACTAAAGCATTCATGCAAAAAGCTAATCTTGAGAGTCCAATCTCCTGAAGTATGCTAAAAGTTAAAAGCTTCAAAGCAGAGACAATCATTTTGTAACCAACACTGTACTCAAGTTCAGAAAAAAGAAATATTATTAAGGCATCCTGAATGAAACATTTACTGTTACATTTTTGAGAATGCAAGTATTATCAACAATGTACTCTAAGGTGATACTTTTGAACTTCTAGCCTGGTTCCAATTCTTCCAAAATGGCTGAGGCCAGGCACACTCAAATTGTTAAGGTTCCATCTCCTTTTCTACCCAAGCTCGCAAGTCAGATTTTATTAGGAGATACATGCAAATTACATTTTAAAAATTAAAAATGAAATTTAAACATCATTGACATTTGCATTTAAATTTAAACTTAGGTCAGAGCAACTGCTTATAGTATGACATTAACTCTATCCAAGGTGTTGCTTCAATATGCACAAATACTCCTACAAACAGCACTGTCCAAACCCTTATCATGTACTGCAGACTACAGTAACACTATCTAAATGTGCAGAGCAAGAAAGTTAAAAGTAACTGACGGCACTATTAGCAAGCACTGAAGAACTTACTAAACTGAAAATAACACTGCAGTCTAATCAATGTCATATCCTTTAGAGGTACAGAAAAAAGATACAGAATACTCCTTTATCAGCATGTTCCAATTTACCATAATATGTGAAGGACTCATCATGAGGATGAATGCCTGGCAACTCTCTTTAATTTCAGCCGCTGTCAAGGTAACACAAGAGGCTGACAATTCACAAAGACAAAACCAACACCAAACCAAAACAAACAAACAAAAAACCCTCAATCTATTTACCTCTGGCTTTCAAACAAACCTATTTAGAAGGTATTCTTCCACCCACCTCAGAATTAATTTAAGCACCCAACAATGACTCTAGAGAGAACTCTAGAAGCATCCTCAGCTGAATGAAACATTTATACTAATACCCAGAACTGGGGGACTCAATAGGAGCACAAAACCTAAAACTGTTATTTCTAAATAGGGGTTCTTCCTATAGTAACTCAAGAATCAGAATCAAAAGTAGTGCTGAAAGCCGTTTACCTACAAAACCACCAGCTTCCCAACATTACAAGGGTGGGTCATGGTGGCTTTAAGTCAGAAAGGGCTCTCCAAACCTCAATAAACCAACCACATAATTCCCCTAGGGAAAAATCATTCCTCTTCCTAAGGCTGTCTTTTCCTGCTGGGTCTTGTTTGAAAGGAGTACTATTTTGCCGTACTGAGAGATGGTGCTGAATTCCAGGGCAAATGCTTTATTTTCACTGAGGTTCCAGAGGCTTCTGTAGCTCCTGGGCTTTCCAGTTCCTTCTTATCCATCTCAATTTATCACTAATGTACTCCAAAATTTTCAGGAAATCGCTGTGCCCTTGACCCTGCCTGGTGCTAGGCTGGAAGGTCCAGATTAAGGGGGAAAAAAAAAGTCTGAGACTTCTACAGCCCTCCCCCTCCCTCTCCCTCCCTCCCTCCCTCCGTCAGCTCTGCGGGCTCCGGGCCTCGGGTCTGCTTTCACAGCCTTCCAGTGCCCTGCAGACCTGGCTTGGCGCTGCCAGACCCCACCAAAGGCCTGTGGCAAAGGGGCGCCGGGTGGGGGACCTGTTTGCACAGATTCGCCTAGGCGTTCGGCACTTCGGGCGCCAGAGACCGGCCGGAAGGCGTCCAGGGGAGGAGGAGGCAGCCTCCGCCCGACTCCCCTCGGGTGCTGTGGGCATTTTCCACCGGCCCTTATCTCAGCAGCCAAGTCTGCCAGGCTGAGCGCGGCGGCCACGGCGAAGCGCTTTCGCTGTCCACCCACCGAGCCCCTGGCCGGTGACCTTGGCCGCGATGCCTCGGCTTCTGACCTCGGCGGCCGGCCGGACGCCACACCTACTCTACGGGTGAGGAGCCGGTCACCAGGATGTGGAAGCGCCCCCGAAGACCGCCTGGAAGGCGGACAGGACCAAGGATGGGAAAGAGATTTCTCCCACCCCTCCCTCGGGGGGGGGGGAGGTCCCGAGCTCCACTTGCGCCCCCCCCGCGGGCCCTGAAACCCACCGGACCCCGAGAAGGGCCGGCAAGTGAGGAAGGGGGCTGCAGATCGGAAGTGCCCCCCTCTCCAGGCACCTGGGAGCGGGGAAGGGGAGGGGGTGTGTCTCCCCATCTCCCCCCCCCCCCGCCCGCCCGCCACATCCCCTTCCTCCTTCCTCTCCACCTCAGCAGGCAAGCGGACCCCAGTGCGGGCGCCGGGGCTGCGCGCGGGGACCCGGCCCGCAGCCTACCTCCTCCAGCAGCGTGACGGTGTTCCTGCAGTTGTGCAGCCGCGTGGTGAAGCTGGACGTGGTGGGCGAGTTGTAGTCCTCGGTGGTCTCGGCGATGAACTCGGAGACGGAGATCTGGTCCGGCATCCTGCCGGGAGGGACGGGGAGACACAAGCGGGGACGGAGGGTGAGTCACGGCGCGGGCTCCCGGGGCCGCGGGTCGCTCGGAGGCTCATGAACGCCCGCGCCGTCGCCCGCAGCCGGCCTGGCGCGGCGCCCCCGGCCCGGCGGCGCGGGAGCTGGGCGTGGGGGGGAGGGCGCGGGCGGACGAGGGCGGCGCTCGGGCCCTTCAAACTCGGAGCGGCGCGCGAGGCCGGGGGCTCCAGAGGACCCGCCTCCCCGTGCTCATGCCGGCGGGGGTGGGGCGCGGACGCTGCGGCCGGAGGCTCGGGCGGCGGGCGCGGCTCCTCGAGCGCTCTGACAGGCGGCGGCGAGGCCGGGCTGACTGAACACTTCAGTCTCGCGGCGGGCGGGCGTGAGGGCGGGCGGGCTCCCGCGGCCGGTCACGGGGACAAACAAGGAAGTGCTCTGCGCATGCGCCGCCCCGCCCTCGCCCCGCCCCCCGGCTCGCGCGCCCCGCCCCCCGCCCTGCAGCGCTCTGAGGGCGTTCGGGGTGGGGGGCGCCCTCCCCCCCCCCCCGCCCCGCCCGCCCCACGAGCTCGCGGGGGCGCCGGAACCACGTCCCCCTGGCCGCCCGCGGAGTGGTTACTTCAGCCAGCTGGTTACGTACGCGAGCATTTCTGCAAGATGGGAACCAGAAAACACCAAAAGTTGTGCGTGTTCTTTTTCAGTCCCGCGTGGGTGGTGCAGGGGGGGGCGCGGGCCGCGCGGGGCGGCCGGGGGGCGGCTGGGGCCCGGCTGGTAGCTGCCCGCCCGGCCCCCGCCCTGGGAACGCTCGCTTTGTGCTGTTGCTGAGGTTGCTGGAATGCTCTGTGAGCACAAATGAAAGTTGTTCGGGCTTTTTCACAATTTCCTCATCTTTTCATTTGCATTTTTTAACCCCGAAGAAAGTCAAGGAGGGAGGAGTGCGTGAAAGTATTTCCCAGATGCAAATCAAAGCTGAAACTGTACCAACACATAACTGCCTCAGCAAAGGGCTATTTTTATTTTTCAAAGTAGTCCAGTCTACTGTAGTTAGAATCCATCCACTTAGCTACTTGCTCACCATTGGTGATGGATGAAGTTTTTGTTTTTTAAGAAAAGGAAAATTAAAAAAAAATCTAGGCCCATGAGTAGTGTCTCAGAATATAAGACCCTTAAAAGCCGTGGTCTGGTGCTGGGAAGGTGGCTCTGTGGCATAGTGCTTGCCTTGCAATGCATGAGGCCCTGGGCTTGATTCCGCAGCACCACATAAGCAGGGGAAAAAAGTCGGAAGTGGTGTTGTGGCTCAAGTGGTAGAGAGCTCCCCTAGAGCTGAAGAGCCAAGGGACAGCGCCCAGAACCCTTCAGGCCTCACATCTGACCAAAAAAAAAAAAAAAAGCCTTGGTCTGCTCAAGCCATCCTGTGTGGCTGGAAGGCTACAGACAGGTCAGGAGACAGGGAAAGAAATCTTTGACATTGGGGTGGCTGTTCAGTTCATTCACTGCCAACAAATGTTTATCAAGAGCCTATTCTGTGTAGGGGAGATTGGGCAATGCCCTTGCCTGTCATGCAGCTTACCTTCCAGTGGACAAGTGAGCAGCTAACAAATTAGATGACACAGAGTGGAGTAGATATAAGGAATGAAAGCATGGTGATGTCCCCATAGAAACAAAACCCAGAGAAAGCCTCTGACAAAGTGAGCCTCCTCCTTTTTTAAGAATGAAGAGAGTCAACCACATTCTGGGATCTTGGACCCACATGGAGGCAGATGATAAAGGGTACCAACCCCAAGAGGCTCTTAGGAGTTACAGGTTAATGGATGAGGAAGTGCTCAACCACAGAAAAGCCAGGAGTAAAGTAGGAGATGCTTATCTCTGGATTGGCCCAGCTGAACCAGCTCCTTGCCTCCAGGGAGAGGCTCATCAATGATCCTCAGAGGGATGTGCTTAGTCATATAAAGGTAGTTCATACGGGAATGCTCACAAACACTCCTCTCTTGCAGAATAAAGTGCCAGAATAAACTCACTTCAAGAGTCATTAGTTTAAAAGATAATAAGCTAGGAGCCAGTGGCTCACACCTGTAATCCTAGCTATTCAGGAGGCTGAGATCCGAGAATCAAAGCTTCAAAGCCAGTCTGGCCAAGGAAAGTCCAGACTGTAAGAGTTATCTCCAATTAACCACCAGAAAACCAGAAGTGGCACTGTGGCTCAAATGGTAGAGTGCTCCCCTTGAGCTGAAGAGCTGAGGGACAGCGCCCAGGCCCAGAGTTCAAGCCCCAACTGACACCCCCCCCCCAAAAAAAATAATGAGGCACTCAATAAATAGGAGTAGTTTCTTGTCATGAATACTTTAAAAGTTTGATTTTAGGACACTTGGAGTATGAAACTCTGGGGAATGGACAGATGGAATTAGCAGGCAGCTGGAAACCCATACCTGGAGGTCATTCATTCATATGGTTGTAAAATGTGTGTGTGGGTGTGGGTGTGTGTGTGGGGGGGGGGGGGTGTGTGTGTAAGTATGAGCCACCCAAGAGGAATCCCTACCTCTGTCTGAAAAGTTCTGTAACTTGGAAGAAAAATGGACCCTACTGGCTTGGACTAATTAAGCTTTCCGAGTCTCAGTAATCCTGTGTTCCCCCACAGAGCACTGAGAAAATTACACTGAAAACTCAGACTTCCTTCTATTCCAAAAAGGTTTTCCTTCCTCTAGGCTGGAAATAAATTCAGACTTGAGATGTTTTGCCTTTATTCTGGCCTTCCCTTGATTCCAAGTTGTTATCTCGTACTGTCACCTCCATTGAGCTGGTAGCTCTCCTGTCATCTAGAACTGGCAAATAGTTAGCAAGTAAGAACTGGTATTAAAGGCCTTTAGTTGTTGTATAATTGCCTTAATTCTGGGAGGCCTTCAGCTCCAGAATGTTCTCTCCTAATCACAGTGGTTATCACTGGGGCTGGGTGCTGTCACTTATAAAATGAAGAGGCAGATAGGTCAAAATGATGACACAGCCCTCCCAGCTGCAAATGACAGCTGTATACACTCAGCTCCGTGGATGTAAAGAATAAAGATTATTGCAACAGGCAATAATGACTGCTAACTGCAATGGTAAATAGTGGAGTTTTGAGGGTTTTTTTTGGGGGGGAAGGGGGTGGGGGCCTGCCAGTCCTGGAGCTTGAACTGAAGGCCTAGGTACTATCCCTTAGCCTTTTATTTTTGCTAAAGGCTGGTGCTCTACCACTTGAACCACAGTTCTACTTCCAGCTATTTGGTGCTTATTTGAAAATAAGTCTCACAGGCTTTTCTGTCCCAGCTGGCTTCAAACCACAATGATCCTCAGATCTCAGTTTCCTGAGTAGCTAGAATTATAGGAGTGAGCCACCAGCACCCAGTGAGATTTCTTTCTTCATTGAATCCACCAGAGCTCAAACTGCTGCCATCAATTCTGTTTCAGTTTCATTGGAAGATTATGTTATGTATCTACTCCTTCCCCCTCCTCCTCAGGCCATGAAAGGAATATTGAAACAATGAGAGATATTGTACTCTGGTAAGTGTATACCCCTCCGACTGGTCTGCAATTAGAATTTCAAAGGTTCACACCTCAGCCCGCCATTTCTGGGGTTCATGGGCCATAATCCTCTTTAAATTTGAAACCATGTCTTAGTGGAAACCATCTGTACCTCTTATTTCTCTAAAAAGAAACACAAAAAACCATTCCTGGATATCTAGAAGCAAATAGAGTCTGACGTGAGTAAAACCTAAATGCTGTATTTCTTTGCATGAAGCTGCCCAGAAATATACACCATCCTTTTCAAAGCCAGGAAAAACATACATGCATATGTCCTTAGGCTTGTATGCACCCAGCTTTATATAAATCAGGCATCATCTTCGTTGTTATCATTAGACTCCCCTTCAAAGACTGTTCACCCTTGCTCCTGTCATGCTGTTGAGCTTTGTCCACAGGGACAGGACAGTGATCCTGGCAGAATGCCTCTTTGTGTCCTTAAATAGAGGCAACCAGAGTAATGGTAGCTGGATAGCAATGGCATTAGCGACCTTGTTGTCATTGGGGAATTGGCTCTGAATCCCATTTCCAGTTATAGAGCTCACTCTCCCATATGCTTTATAACCAAGGGGGCACATGTGCAAGATGATTGACAATAGACCTGGGGTAGGGAAGCAAAGAGATTCTTCAGACCCAAGAAATCAGGAAGAGGCATGTGTGCTCTGTACCACAGTGATAGTCAGCAAGAACACACAGCAAAATCCTCTCATTTAACTGAGCCGTGAGGAGAAAGACAGGAAGACAATGCTTCATGCTGCGTGAAACTGGGTTTGAATCTCTACTCTGTCACTTGCTAGCCTTGTTTCTTCATCTGCAAAATTAAGGTAATGGTCATAGTAAAGCTATGTCCAGACTGTTTTGTGAAACGACATGAGATGATAGGGACAAAAACGTTGATGCATAGTGAATAAGCAGTCATTGTGAATTCCTCTGAACTCTTCTTCTGTGAAGTATGACTATAAATACATCTCCTTTCATCTCACAATTCAGCTTTCTCTAAATTAGTCACCTGCAGGAAGAAGAAGAAAGGGAAGGGAAGACTGTACAGTAAGGCAATTTGCAGAGTCTGGGATCTGGGATATGGGAATCAATCATCTTTGGAGACCTTGTTTATTCCCTTAAGTATACTTTGTGAGGTCAGATCCATTAGTGATGGTTTTAGATTTGGGAAATAAATAAACAGTACTTAGAATCAAATAGGATAGATTCCAATCAGGATCAGAAGTGAGTTAAAATCATAAAATAAAACCCCATTTAAAAAAATAAAACATAGCTCTTGTGAGGAAGGCTATTCTAAGCCAGGCATTTATTGTACAGGAACTTGAGTTTATGGGCTGTTCTCAAATTAGAACTCCTTGGCTCAATTCTCTGCTGCACAGAATTTCACCTAATTCATTTCCATAAGTCTCAGTTTTCACATCTATAAAAGGGGAGCAGTGATCAATC